GATCAGGCTAAAAGCTCTTCACGCTGGTAAGATAATTGCGCAACTAAATGTCCTGGGAGCCTCTAAGAAGAGATCTTTGTCCTTAAAGATGGAAAAGGCAGGTAGAAATGTGTTAGCGCAAAAAGACACAGCTGTTCAAGCTAGACTGAGTCTAAAAGCTGGGAAGCAACAGGAAGAGGCGTGGCTTAACAGTTTGCAGACTCAGTCCTAGCAGCTAACAGACAGCTAACCCATTCCTGACTGCTGTTCCCACCATTATGGAGAAGTAAGCCTTATTGAATTTACTAAGTCTCGAGAATTGGCAAATAGAGTTTTCAACAAGTAACCTACTTATTAGTTAATACAAAGGCAGGGGAAAGTATATTTAATTGATGTTCTAGCTCAGGGGTGTCAAACTCAAGGCCCGAGGGACGGATCTGGCCCGCAGGGTGCTTAAATCTGGCCTGCAGGGCTACCCTGGAAAGAATCAAGGACCGGCTGCTTGGGAGCCCATTTTTTCTGGCAGAGCACTCGGGCCACCACAGTGACAAGTGTGACATCGAGCTGGCCACAACCACCCTGGCCAGGTCCACTTGGAGGTCAAACCCAACTCTGATGCGGCCCTCAATGAAATCAAATTTGACACCCATGTTCTAGCTTACTCTACAGCCACCCATACAAACTTTCTAACCTTCCAATAATCACAAAAGCTGGTGCCACTCTCACAATCATTTGGAAGGTTGATTCTCCAGATCACACAATTTGGAATAGGAGCTTTCCAAATGGTGCCCACTTGCAGAAAGGCATGAGATGGCCTCTGTAGGAAGATGCACCATGTATCAATTGGGCATGCCTGCCAGCAGTTGCAGAAAAAGGCAAAATAAGTGGAGACATTTATGCGTGCTGCTCCAATTTAGGCAGGCCTCCCAGGTATGGTATGGTAGTGAGCAAGTCTGGGCCTCCCAAGTATGGTGGGGCAGCAAAAGGCCTGGGCACCCTCAGCAGTTTTCTGCACAATGGGAGACCCTGTATAAAAAACCAGGCCACCTAGCTCACAGCAGCTTTCCGCATATTAGTGGGCCCTGTAGCTGTTGCAGTCTTCCCCACCCTGAGGCACTCATGCTATCAGATAATGGGGGAGCCAGTACTGCATTCATTGAACAAAGCAATCATATGATGCCTTGGTTAATGATTATTTCACTCGACAAAAGAAGATTCCAGAGATAATTGTGGTCATAAATTGATTACCTGTATAATCAAAAATATAACCATTTCTATCACTGCATTGTCTTGTTCTCCCTCCATATCCCTGAATAAGTACTCAGCTATGCTGAATGCTAAATTGTTTCTATATTGAATATGCTTTGGATTGAGATTTTTCTTCAATGTTCTGCTGTTGTTTATAGGTAAATAAGCCCAGGGAAGGATTTCCGAGAGAAAATAAATTGTATATAACTTTTTCTTTGTTTAGTATACAATGATATATAGGCTTAATAGTCTGACTCAAGATTCACAGTGTAAATAAATGGTTAAGATGCATAAATGGTAGTGTTTCAAATAATCTAGACTCATTAGGCAAAAAATTTAAATAAAAAATATGGAATAGGAAATAAATACTAATGTTGCTGTCTCTTTCTCTGCTCTCCAGTTTTAACTATGCTGGTGGATGGAGGAGAGAGAAAAAAACCTCACCAGAAGCATGGCACCCCAACCCAATAAAGTGTCTGAATGCTGTTGCAGTTGTTATGTCTAGATGATTCACATAATCTTATTGATAGGCAGGAATAAATCCCAATGAAATCAGTAGATATAAATAATACAAATAAAAATATTTGTACACTGCCCAATTCTCAGCAATTTAAGAATAATCTACTGTAATTATATAGGTCTGTTGTCTGCATAGGAAGAAATCCAGAATAACACCATTGATTTAGATAGCTTTGCTACCTATGTGGTTTTAAAATGAAACTAATTTGGGAAAAATGGTTTGGAGGTACCAAATAACCATAACAGCTTTAGAGAATAATAAAAATGAAGTGCTCAATAATTATACTGCTGAATTAAACACCAGATTAAATTTAGACAAAGTTCCCACTTTATCAATACATTATATAAAAAGAGGCATTTGAATTATTGAGATTTCTATTTCAAGTTTATCAATTTTATATATCTTCTTTTTATATGCATAGAAAAGTGTAAAACCTTGCCAATTTAAACAATGGAAGCTTGGAATCTCTTGTAATATTTTAATAGTGTATATAACCATTAAAAATAAATGAATGATAGCAAAATGACTAAGATTTTGAAATTCTGAAAATCAACTTGGACTCTCACACTGTGTTCCATTTTTGCTATTTACTCAAAATTAATGCATAGTCATAGTATATTTCTTAAGAGTAACGCACAGGGTTGTTGTCATCAACAGAGGTTTAGCAGAGAATGTATAGTATAGCCTTTATTGTCATTGTATATCATGTATACAACGAAATTGCCTCACTGGTACAATCCATGACAAAAAATACAAACAGCATAAATAGTATAAAGAATAATCCCTATGCAAGTAATTGGGGGAGGGGGGGAGAGAGAAAGAAAGAAAAAGAAAAGCTAGTCGTACGTTTCCGCGTGTGCATGGAATGATTATGGTTGTGTTTAAGAGTCTGACAGCCCAACATGCTCCAACAAACACAATGACTATAAAAAAGGTGCTGGAGTGTGCAGAAGCAGACAAGTTAACGATGGAACTTAAGGACAGAAGGAAACTATTTATTATGAAACATGGAACAGATGGTACGATTGGCTGGAAAAGGAATCTAAAATTAATGGATAGTGTATAGCAAAAGAGAAGATATTATAATGAAATGTTATATTTAATGTGTAGTAGGTATGTATATAAAACGTATTGATTATATGAATAAGTATGTAACAAACAAAATATTATGTATATAATTGGCTGAAAGATAAATTGGATATTACTAAAAATGCCGATATTGGAAAGCTGTAAAAGTGTAACTAAGATTTAGAAGATGTAAACGTTGAATAAAAACATTTTTTTTAAAAAAAAGACAGCCCAAGGATAGAAACTTTTTAAATCTATTTGTTCGGCTGGCTATGCTTTGATGTCTTCTACCCGATGGTAGAAGTGTAAAGATGGCTTTAAAAATTGGTGCTTTATTACATTAACAAATATGTGCAAATAACGTACTGATAATCTCTTGCTGTTTTACAAATATTGGTAATCCATGTCATTTAAATTAATAATACTAACATTACTAACTGTTCGTATATAAACTGAAATTAAAAGAAACAAAGAAAAATATTCTGATGTTGACAAACCATTAGATGGTTTGAATGGCAATTCATTACCTCAAATTTGTTGTAGGCTTATGCTTCCAGTTTTATGTAACATTGTTTTGGGAATTCCAAAAATAAGCAAAAATGCCATACAATCATGTCAGTGGTGGGTTTCAAAATTTTTTACTACCGGTTCTGTGGGTGTGGCTTGGTGGGCATGGCATGGCTTGGTGGCGTGGCTTGGTGGGCGTGGCAGGGGAAGGATACTGTAAAATCTCCATTCCCACCCCAATCCAGGGGAAGGTTACTGCAAAATCCCCATTTCTCCCGATCAGCTGGGACTTGGGAGGCAGAGAATAGATGCGGGCAGGGCCAGTCAGAATTTTTACTACCAGTTCTCCAAACTACTCAAAATTTCCGCTGCCGGTTCTCCAGAACTGGTCAGAACTTTCTGAAGCCCACCTCTGAATCATGTGCTAGGAAAAAGGGAGAGGGTAGAGTACTTTTGAAGGAAGGAACTGAACATGATTTTTTTTTTTTTGTCTTGGGTGAAGGGAGAAAAAGATTGCACTTCTGTGTGCATTGGTACTGGGTTTTGCAGGTGTTCACAGGTAGTCCTCAACTAATAATCACAATTTAGTTTGGAATATTGGTCATTAAGGTTGTTTAATGGGTCACTACGTGGCCAGGTACAATTTTACAACCATTTTTACAATGGTCATAAAGCAAACCAAGTAATCAAATCCAGCGTATCTAATGGGTGTTTTTGCAGGACAATGGCAAGAAATATAGTAAATCATGAACATGTGATTAAGGGATGCTAGAACTGCTAGAACTAGTAAATGTGACTTGATTGCCAAGCACCCAAAATGCGATTATGTGACCATGGGAATGTGTGTGTGTGAGTGTGTATGCAGCAGTCATACATTGGAGGACAGGTTGTAAGTAGATATTTTGAAGTTTGTTATAACCTCAAACAGTTATTAAGTAACCAGTCATTAAGCAAAGACTACCAATATATGCATTCCATAAATCATTATTTATTAATAATTGATATATTTGAACACACTATATATCAACCTAATAGAGGATTGTGGTAGTAAACCCTATTGGCATGCTAAGTGCCTACAGCTTTAAGACACCAAATCAAGTTATAGAAGAGTTTATTGCATTCTGATTTTATTCCTGTCAGATATCAGCATAAACGTTGAACTTAAACTCTCCCTGGCACCAAGTAAACCCAGATATTAAGCTCCCCTCAGACACTGAAGCATATTGAGTGACTCTGGGCTAGTTTCTTTGTATCGGCCCAAAACACCTCACGAAGTTATAGTGGAGAAAATAGGAGGTGGGAGCATTATCTATTCTACCCTGGATTTCTGAAGGCCGGATAGTAATCTAATAAATAAATGGAATTCAGTAAATTAGTGTAGTTTCACTGCATGGAAGTTGTTCTAAAATTGGTTCATTGGCATGAAAGGCAGTAATTTAGCATGCTGTTTATGATCAAATAAATCTGACTATATCTACTCATATTTTTAATGATTGTAAAGTATACAAAATAGTTTTATATTGATGTATAGTACATTTCAATAAAATGTGTTGGGCTTGCTTTTTTTAGTCTCTACTAGTACTTTGGATGTTCTATAGATGTTCTAAATATCTGCACATTTTAATTTAGTTAAAACTATTTTTTTTATGGGATGAAATTTAATGATATTTTTATTCAGTTTCAGATTCAGAATTCCATCTCCCATACCCTTGTTCTGTTTGGACAATGTAGCATACTGAAGCGTTCTACAATATCCCTGCTTTTCAGAGAAATCAGTCAATTTGCTAATAAATTGCAGCATGCAAACAAGGTACAATTCTGTAGTTTTATGCTGTTATACATTTTATACATTTTACCTTGATACTGTTATTCCTAAAGGTTTATTTTTTTATAAGTATTCTGACTTACATGTGTAGTTTATTAACCAGATTTCAATATAGGTAGGGATGATTAATACCACTAGTGGTGAAATTTATCTCAGTAATTAACTTTGGGGAAGTAGCCATGCACACACATGCATCCAGAAACAATTGGGGAAAGCTATTGAAGCAGCTTCATTGAGTGACATGGCTGCTTTAATGTTTCAAGATAGGCTGGTTCACTTACATCACGGGTGTCAAATCACAGGTGTCGATCATGTCACATGACGTATTGTGATGTATCGCGTTGTTTACCTTTGCAGAGCTCAGGTGGGTGTGGCCTGCACGTGACGCATCTGTCCATGGACTGCCAGTTTGACAGGCCTGACTTGCATCAACATGCTTTGCAAAGTGGCTGTTTTGAATGCTTTATACAGGTTGATTATAGTGTTTAGATATTCAGATCATGTGGCTCAGTGCTTTTAAGATGGGGAAATTAAAAGATACCTAGAAACAAAATTAAATGAAATGATAGGGTATTGTTAAGAATGATTTGATTCCCAGAAAATGGAGCAAGTTCACTGAACTGTTTCTTAGAGTTTCTTAGAGCCTTATACCACAATTGACAATGGTATATGAGATGAAAAGATAGTTCCTTTATCTTATTGTAAATAAGTCAAAATATAAATTATTTTTTTATCCATTCTTGTTACCGTACCTCCATCTCTCATTCCTTTGTTGTGCTTCTGTATCTGTTTTGAGCTTGTGGGAATAGAGCACTGTCATAACATGCTCTTTGTAAAATGTTCTGCACATAGATGACATATAAATAATGCAGAAGAAAGCATGAATTGTCACCCGCAGAAATATACTAGGGGTACTAGAGATATTCTTATGCATTTGAATCTAGGCTTTCAGCTGAATTCTATGATGTTCCTTGTATTTTGCCTCAGTTGAGGCATAATAGTTCCTTACTGACCAGAACTTTCATTGGCTGTAAGTCAACTCTAGAAATGGAAAGGAAATATTAAAAAATGTGACCTGCCAGTCAATCTGGAGAATGATCAATGGCTTTAAAAAAAAATCCAGCGCTCTGCATATTAGAAGCAGATGTTTGCTGTTTTCTTTTATTGTACAACAAAACTGAATGTGACAGTCAGAAAACAGAAATTATTTTTTTCTTCAGCTGAATAAGCAATTAAATTGATTTTGTGAACATAAAATGATTTATTATAAGAAGGTTTAAAATAAAATGCATTTAGGGCATCTTTATCTGCATGTTGAGAGGGGCCCCATTTGTCTTTCTGTAAAAATAATTGGCAAGTCCCTGTAGTAACAATTGTATGACAGACCATTGTCTGATGAACGATGATGAGAAATACCATGCATTGTTTCTTAAATCTTCTTAATCTTCTATGCATTCTGGAAGAGGAAAAAGAGCCGCCAAACATTTTGGGAAGTGACACCATTAGTTAACAAGTTGTTACTATTTAGAAAATACGTCCTGTAATTGTAATTGTGACTTAGCCAGCACGAGTCTATCTATTCCACACCCAAAATATTGTAGTAATAGGGTTCCGGGAAGAAACCAACAATTTAGAGCAGGGTGTCAAACTCACGTCGTCACGGCAGCGTCACGTGACATATCGGGACTTATCTCCCTTTCGCTAAACCGGGCATGGGCGTAGCCAGCGCATGACGCATCCAGCCCATGGGCCGGGAGTTTGACAGCCCTGACTTACAGCAAGCATGTTCAGCCCGTGCCCCATATGCAGCCCTGAACAATTAGTCATGTGGGCACACAAGACCCCTCCCCCAAAATAAAGGAAGTTTGTTGCTTATATACATTAACTACATATTTTATATGCGGCCCAGGACAATTCCTCTTCCCTCATTGCAACTCAGGCAAGCCAAAAGGTTGGACACGCCTGACCTAGAGATCTTCTGTGGTGACATGCAAGCTGAGGAGCTAATAGGATAAGTTTTAGGAATGCTTACAGAAAGCCAGGAACTTTGGTAAAGAAAGAATTCTGAACCCAATGACCAAGCATAGAAATGGTGACATCCAGAATAAGATGTCTGTCCAATATATTATTGACAGCAGAAATGGATTATAATATTAAAAAGCAGCACAGAACTGTAAAATAAACAGAAAGACATTAATGGAGAAAATCAGATCTGATATGCTCTGCTGAAGATGATTTAACTTGTGGAGAAACATGCTGAGATAGGTACTTGTCAAGAGAAAGACTGATGGTAGCCTTTGCTTCACACTTACCTCTGGACTGTCAAATAACAGGTGGCGGCAGAAGGTTTGAACGAGTTCTGAGAATTCCCTGAAGCTGTGCCAAAAACCACTCAAACATATCCACATATCCATAATATGATTGTAGGACTCATTTGTTTTAGAACTGTTCCAGTAAGTAGATATGTACCTCTCATGCTATAGAAAAAAACAAATCAAAATACATTTTATTTATAATGTATGGTCGCTATGGGTCACCACTTCTTTCAGATAAAAACAGATAATTATATACCATGGATAACAGCTGTTACAGCGCTTGCATTTACTATTCCCCTCTTGCTCTGAGTAAAACATGTTTTTAACAAATGTTCTCTAGTTGCTTTACAGTTTCGATAATCCTATTCTTATCTGGAAGGTGCAACTTAATTTTATAAGATTTTTGGCATGAAATAGCAAAACCCTGGGAAGCTTGCTTACAAAATACATTGCAGGTAGTCTTTGAATTACAACCACAATTTAACTCCAAAATTTCCATTGCTAAGCAAGACAGTTGTTAAGTGAGTTTTGTGACTTCTCTTGTCACAGTTAAGTGAATTACTGCAGTTGTTAAGTGGATCATTTGATCATTCCGTGAATCTAGATTCATTAAGTGAATCTTGACTTTGCTTATGGGAAGTTGGCTGGGAAGGTTACAAATGGTGATCACAAGATCTTGGGACAATGCAACTGTCCATAAACCCATTTCAGTTGTCAATCATCTGATTTTTGATCATTTGACCATGGGGATGCTGCAACGGTTGTATGAAAACCAATCATAAGTTATTTTTTTCAGTGCCATTATAATTTTGAACAGTCACTAAGCGAATGGTTGTAGGTCAAGGACTAAATGTATACAAAGTTGAACTGCTGAATGGCCAATCATGCTGATTCAGTCTTTTTAGTTGAAACATATGGGATCTCTTCAATAGTAACGGTCAAATATACAATTTGAACCTGCAAATCTCAAGTCTATGTAGAAATCAGATAGATGACCACTCTGAAAAAGAAATTTATTTAGATGGAAGTAACTAAATGAAATGAAAACAGCAAGGTATTGTTATTCCAGATTATGAGAAACTGATACCTATGGAATGGATAAGAATGTGTTTTAGAAATGCCAATGTACATTTCTGACACAGCTGATCACTCCTCTACCATCCAAAAAGCAAGCTAGAGTACTAAAACATGATCCCTAGGTGTTTTGTATTCAATAGAATGGCAGCCATTAGATCACCTAAGACCTATTTACATCTGATAAATCCATATTCATAATAATATAAATTCATCTACAGGCCACTATTGTTTAGGGACTGCCTCAGTTTGTAGTTATGGCAATAAAAAAATATCTTTGTGATCCAATTCGTGCTTTTATGACCTTTGCATCATACCTGTTCAGTATTACAGTCAGTTAGTAGTCATTGTCCTGTGCTTGATTTCCAGAGTGAAGCTATTGCTTAAACTATTATCTTCCTGAGCTGCTTCTGATAGTAGAGCTCCCCTTTGAAAGTGCTAACCTCAAATAAACAACCTCAGCTCTGTGACCTTAATTAGCCTGATACTATCTGCTACCTATTATTGAGAAGGCCCTAATCAGTTTCACACTAAAGACTTTTAATTTGCTTCCTAAACTTCCAACCACAAGCTCACTAGGCAAATAGCCAGTGCTAGCATATTCCTTTCAAAGGAGCTTGAGACATCAGCCTAATAATGCACATTTCACAACTCTCCTATTCCTAATTATATTAACCTATTTTAGGACTCTTTTTAAACATAAGTTACACTATTCTGAGTGAGACAAAAAGCAAGATTTTCTGTGGGATTATATAATATGTAAAAAAAGAAACAGCATAGTAACGGCCCTGGATCTTTCTCCTCATGGAAGTCAGCTAAACAACCAAAGGTAGGGTAACTTTGTACGTGAAAAGGTTCTAAATAAAACAAACCTCCCTCTTATTTCCCACAAATTTGAAGTTTTAGAATGGATTTGCAAAGACAACTGGGGGGGGAAAAACAGCGGTTAGAGCTTTCTTTAACAGCTGTTTTCAGTCAGGGATGAGTTAGAGATAAGCCATGATTCCCTTATAGGATCAGTGGTGGTATTCAGACGGTTCTATCTGGTTCGGGTGAACCGGTAGCAGCGGCTGTGGGAGGCTCCGTCCACCCACCCAGATGTCATCACATCCTGTTTTTGACACTCACTATGCGCATGTGCATGACGCTCTGTGTGCGCGCTCACATTTGCAAGCCAGTAGCGAAGATAAGTGAATACTACCCCTGTATAGGATGTTTTGATCTGAGTCACGTAAACAGCAGCATATGCTAGTATAGTATGTTTATTACCCAACTATATTGTGTCAAGCTGTTTCTCAAAGCAGCCCCCAAACCTTTCTGTAGTCAGGCTGATAAAGTTTGGCCCCAATTTCCCCACAATCCACGAGGCCCCAGTTCCAAGGACAAGGTCCAATATCCACAAGAGCGAGGTCTGCAATTCCACCAGGCAACAGCAAAGCCCAAAGTCCACAGAGCAGGGTCTGCAAGCAATCCAAAAAGCAAGAACAAGGTCCAACATTCACAGAGTCGAAGAGAGTGCACTGCAGAAGTAAATGGTTGTCTCCAATAAACTCACCCTCTCCTATGTCTGACTAAATCTCCCAAGTCCAGTGTTTT